GACAAAAAAAAAAAAAAAAAAAAAAAAAAAAAAAAGTTGATCGAAATGTACATATCAAATATTAACCAATGTCAATGATCTCGTGGTTAAATGAATTTGATTTGTAACTTCAATTTAAGTTGATAAGTTTTTTTGTCGGCACTTGTATGGTATGTAAGCACATAATCCACGTAGAGAACACTTTATACGTGATAATAAATAGACAAGTTAGATCCACTAACCTCCAGCCATAGCTTAGAACCTTGATCGCCTAGGCTCGTGGTCTGACGAACGGGAGTTCCTCGGGCTGCTGTGAAATCACCGTAGATTGATTGAGTTTCTCTCACTTCTCTTAGTGACTCTAGATGGTGTATGATACGTCAACTGAGCAGTGAGAGGACTTGAGAGTCTAAATACCTACATCCCATCAATGTAGGCAACTAATTACCTAATGCTGACTGAGTTCTAATACTTATTCAGCCTATTGATTTAAACCACATATTTACTTATTATTATTATTATTATTATTATTATTATTATTATTATTATTATTATTATTATTATTATAACCTTAATAATAACAATAATAACATAAGGAAAACGTTACATTCTCCCACTTGGTGCAAATGCGGAACTCGAAGAACAAGATCACACCAACCATAATGATATGTCCTCCTTAACACGAGTAATACACATTATGATCAAATGCAAATTGCCTTCGAGTACTTAGGTAATCGATCAAACTTAATGAAACAAACCATATGTTCATTTCAAGTCCACTGAAGTATATTTTCTTATTGAGATAAAATTGAATTGTGTACACACTCAAAGAAAATATCTGAAGTATCTGAAGAAAACTGAAGTACAAAAGAATTTCATTATTTGAACTGAATGTATATACAAATTTACAAAGTGGACGAAAGTCCCATTTTCTGAATCAGATCCTTGAATTTAAAAGCCTATAGACTCTCAAACTCCATAATAGAAATAATAGAAATCATTTGGATTGTGGTGCAATCCTTTTCTAATAAAAACTTGAAAATTGTAGATTTTATGTCTACCCTCCATAGATGTATTTGTGTTTTTCTCTTATACATAACACTAATAATATATTCAATCAAAAGGACTAATTAAACACCGCCCTAATGAAAAGAATAAAATTTTTTGCATTAAAAAATTGTCCAAATCAGGATTCAAACCCTTGATATTTTGCGCGGTCCATTAAGTCAAAACCTTATTAACATGCTTCGGAAAGAGACGAATGGTGGAACATGATTCCATCCCAGAAGGTCAGTTTGATTCTTATGCCCATCACATAGGATATTTGTAGAACGGTTTACCAAACAATCCATGGCTACAAACTCTTAAAAAACAAAAACAAAAAAACAAAAAAAAAAAAAACAAAACAAAACAAAACAAAAAAAAAAAAAACAAACAAAAAAAATTCCATCCGCCTCTGCCGCTGGCCGGTGACACTATGCTAGCTCCTATTCTCGCATCACTTTTGATATTGTCTATTTAACCACAACCTTAATAATTAAATAGCCTACAAACAGTCCATCACTTTATCTCTATTAAACATACTTAATTCCTCAAACTATTTATTATGAAATACTCAACTTGTACCCTTTCTTCGTGGTCAAAATCTCAGTGGATACTTTAAAGGCATATTTTAAATGTTTTTGTGTCCGGCTTCATTTATTAGGGCTCCGGATGAGTGTCCTGTTGTAGTTGCACTCTGTATGAGTGTTCCGTTATAGTTGCGCTCTAGATGAGTGTTCCGTTGTAGTTGCGCTCCAGATGAGTGTTCTGTTGCAGCTACGCTTTGAATGAGTGTTCTGTTATAGTCGATCCGGCCTGTGATAAAAAATCTGGGTTGTTAGAATTCTTTTATTTTGTTCGTAACAAAGTAGCATCAAATTAAAGGAACTATATGGAAACTTCATCTCTAGAACAAGACCAACTGACAGGCATCTTCACCAAGTCACTAACTACAACAAGGCTAAATGATCTAAGGGACAAACTTAATGTTCTCTCTAGAAAACTTTAGGCTTGAGCGGACGTATTAGAACTCTGTATTCTTGGCACACTAGAATTCATTCCACCTCTCCTTATTATTAGGAATATTACGTTTTACCATTCCTATCATAACTAAGACTCTTTGTATCCTTATAAATACATATATTATATTTGTCATGTATTGATCAATAATAAAGATTATTCCTAGACCAATTGTTTTCATCCAATTTACCTCTCCTATATAGTTTGTGCGCTAAAATTATTTTCATCCAATTTACCTCTCCTATACACATACATTATTAGATAATGATTACATGTTCTTCTCGTCATTTAGAAAGAAAAAAAAAAAAGGAGAATATATATAATAAGGGGGTTATTAAATTGGTCCCATTAAAAGCAAATATGTTAAAATTATGAAATGTTAATGAATGCTCCAATGGTAGGATAATATAATTTTAACCTATCATCAATATGTGCAGTAGTTATGAGGTATGACCTGGGTATGCTATTGCATGCCTAGAACTGCATATTCTAATCATTATTTTATTTTATTTATCTATTTCCTTATGGGGAACAGTAAATTAAAAATTAAAAAGAGAAAAATACTGACAGATTTCATATGATACATATTAATGAGAGGCAATAAATAGTGTTTACAGTACAAGATTAGCAAATATTTCTTTACCCAAAAGGGGTGGGTTCCCATTAAGAGTTTGGTGTATATTAATTAAAACAGATTCATTTATGGTAGAATTAATAGCCTCAGAGATCTGTTATGAAATACCAGCTACATTAACAGATTGAATTATTATATTTGTTCTTAGGTGTTTTCAAAATATATATATATATATATATATATATATATATATATATATATATATATATATATATATATATATATATATATATTTGTTCTTAGGTCGAGCAAGTTAAGGTAATCCAGGGTGGGTGGTAGGGATTCTAATCCCAATATATGTATATGTAGTCAATCCAACGATGTTGGACGTGTGGGTTACTCATGGTATAATACTACAACTTCCTAGATTTTTTTTGGGGGGGGGGGGAGGGGGTGTAATTTGGGTTGTTTAATAATATATTAGATTTTATTATTTATTTTCCGTCGAATTATATCTTGAACCTCATGAACCCGTCCAGAACTTATGAAGTAAATATGCAGATAAAGAACAATTTAGTGAGACTTTTCATTTAGTAGACCAATGCCCTGAGGGCAATTAATACAATTGTACGATATTAATCAATACCAGTACCAATTGTATAGAGTACAAATATATATAAATATATGATTGTATTTAATACTATTAGTACCGGTTTGATAATACTTAATGCAACAAAAAATTTATGCATAATTGTATTGGCACTGGTGTCTATTGACACAGTAAGCTTTTTCATAATTTTTTTTAAAAAAAAAAATTTACTAATTAAACATTTAAACCTACTTTGGTGGGTTTAGTCAACTCAAGTTACTAGGAAATAGTATTGTAAAGTGCCCCAATGTATCACTGTAGAAGAACAATAAGTGATGTATGACTTGTTAGTAATATATTGTAGTCCTAGTATAAGAAATTTAATTTTGTTTAAATAAGATTTCACATTTAAGCTTTGTAAAATTAATAATGAATCGTATTTATTAATTGCAAGCAAATGAATTGATTGTACTATGATTTATTATTATTAATTATTAATTTAAAGTGAAATATAATGCACAAAGTTTAAGGTGAGGTGCCCTTCCCTTGGCTGATTATTTAACTTCATCACTACCAAAACTAAAATTTACCCGCCAAATCATTTGAAATCATGCTTAATTTAAACTTTATACCCTCTGTGAAGAATTGGCATTTGCCTCCTTTATTTGTTTCATTGAATCATTGTATTGTTTAATTCTTCTCCCACTAAACCACTGAGTTAAATCTGTGCGAATTAGGGATGACAATTTTACTCATACCCTATGTTTTTGAAGCATTCCTGCCCCTATGGGTTTTAAAATACGCGCCCACATATTTAGGTTATGTGTGCAGGAATAGAGGGAATTTTGTATACCCACACGAGTATATAGACGGGGGCCGGGTGCAGGAGGAGGTATCCCCACCCTACACCTGCACTTATAATCTTATATATATACATCTTTCTGTACTTCAAGCATCATGGATTGATTAATAATAAAATTATTCCTAAAACTATTGTTTTCATATGATTAACTAGTGTTGGGACACAAACATGAGTATTTTGGAAACCATCAGACTAGGATTTCACATCCTAATTAATACATTGATCACTAGCTCCTCCAGTGGACTTGCATCTTTTTGAGGAAGGAATAACAATCCAAAAAATTTCATTGATTACCAAAGGAAGTCTGTATGGTATACTCATCTGTACAGAATTTGTGTATAAATTTATGGTCAAACAACTCAGAACTGGCCAGAAGGCATTAAAATCAAAGATAGCGATAAACTTTATCAGCCTATCTTAAAGATCAGAAGCATTATTCCCTTCTACATTAGGCCAGGTTTGGCTGCCACTGCCAAGTATTCCTCATTCAATCTTTTCCCACTTTTCTACACTTTATTGCTCACCATTTCTACTATGCTTTATGGAACCACAGTAATTAATGAGGCTTAAAAACAACCGACTCAACCCCGAAAGTGAAGGCTAGATCAGATGGTAGAACATGATTCTCGTATTAGAAAATCATGTGTGCAATTTTGCTAACACCCTCTTGGTCTAACCCACACAAGGGTCCTTCAACTTTCAAGTCATGTGAGGATAACCCCAGCCAAATTGGTTAGACGGTTAACTTAGAAACCAAAAGGTTACAAGTTCGACTCTCAGCGGGAGCGACCTATTGACCTTCTGGTTTGAACCCAATCAGCTATAGATAACTTAGATTGATTTACCTCTTTGTGATCCCTTGGCAATTAAGGTCACAAGGTCGGGTGTACCCAGCTAAAAGAAGTGGAGTTTGGGGGACCCCTGCTACATGAAAATACAAAAGAGCAACATAGATTTTTGAAGAACTAGGTTATATACAAAGAAGCTGTAAGGACATCACAATATTATGCTTGTCTTCAATTGAAGCTGAGTAGCATGCCAAATGGATAAACAAATCTTGATCTGTTGGGCATCATATCTGCCAGCTCCAGGTTAAGCCAACATATTGCCATAATTTTCAACGGATTCTGAAACAAGTGATTCTTCAAGAACACTTGGTACACTTCACAATGTTCTCGTTGTCTGTATGGAAATTTCTCGTTGTTCCAAATTCCAATGCCTCGTACCCTTATCGAGGTTTTACCTGAAAAACTCTGTTGTACCAAATTGAGTGCAGGAGCATATGAAATAAGTCGTACCTCACAGGGTTTTTGTGCCAAAGAAAGTACCGTTGCACAATCTTTAGTCTACGCTGCATCACCATGTATCGCTCTTCAGGGATTGAGAGCAGTATGTTCCTTAGGTTCGGGACATCTTTCTCTAGAATAAACACAGAAAAAGTTTCCCAATTTAAAACCTCAAAGAACGGGGGTACATAGTTGTCTGATATGATAACTGGTATGCACCCGTAGTGTATGGACTCCACCACTCGGGGTGTATGGACTTCATACCCCCTAGCACATATGCAAAACCGGCTGCCTCTCATGAACTCCCTGTATCGTTCTTTACTTTCAATATCCCGAGGCATTGGCCCAAAGATCTTCATGTCAGGTACTTTATTGCTCCAGTGTTGAAGTAAGATGGGACGGAGATAACCATGCATGCCTCCGGCAAAGAAAGCCAATATAGATCTCTCTGAAGGTAGATTTCCTCCGAGATCTTTTAGAGGATTCTCAGCTGAACGAACATAGGTCACTGGCAAAGAGACATCCTTCCCGATCTGGAAGCCACTGGCAATATTGGTGTTACAAAGAGCTCTAATACATGTATCCATACCCTTCCTTGTGAATTTGGGTGCCTGAAAATGTGTTTATATATGAAGTTTTGTTTTTAGTTTGCATTTCTTGAAAATGAGAAAAATATGATGGATCGGGCAATAACCAAAACGAATATATTATCTATAATAACATAATAGTTCAAGGCATAGAAGGGCATACCCAATCATGGCAAGCGACAAGAAAATGATCAGCTCCTTTGGTTCTGTTCCAAAAGCGATGTTTTCTTGCAATTAAGTTGATGTAATCGCTTAGAAGATATTCTATACGTTTCTGACTGAAACGCTTTTGGCCCCGAAGTGAATCCCTCAGCTTTAGTGAGCTAAAAGGTAAATAAAACAAGTGAGCCTTCTTGGGATCCCTCACAACAAATTGCTTATTTACCTCCATCAGTTTCATAAACCACCCTTCAGAAGCATAAATTCCTCTTAAATATGGCTGGTGGAATATCGGCTTTTCCCCTTCTCTATAGATATAAACTTTTAACATGTGTTCCATCAGTTCATAACTCCTGCCATCAAGATCGCAGAGATTAACCTTTTTGGAAAACAAAAATGTTTGAATCCATTTTGCCAGCACGACTGCTTCAGAGATGCACATATAACACCATCCATATTATAGTAAAAAGCTATTTAGAAAGCAATATCAAGACAATATGAGAAATTGGGAACTAATAATTATGCTAGTTACCTTCTAAATGTAGAATAATTTCGAAAAATAGACATGTGAACTTCAGGAACATTCCTTACAATTATAGCATTTTCAATCTGAAACCTTGCCTTTTGAAGTTCCCGTTCTGGCATAGAATGCCGTCGTGCCCTCTATAACCAAAGGGATTAATCAAAAGTCTATTAAAACATTATCATGAGAGTCCAAATTTTCAAGTCATACCATTGAATTGACATATTCAGAATTCCGCAACAGCAAACTATTCATAAGGGAGATTGATATTGGCGTTCTTTCCCCTTTCTTTGATGTAGAGTTATGAGCCATCTTTGAAAGATCATTTGGAAAACCTGAAGCAATTAGTTTCGGTTTGAAATCTCCAGTAGGCTCATATTTCATTTGCCGCTCATCAGCAGGTAAGATGGTAACTCCAGGCAATGTAACTGAAGAACTGTTGTTCATGGCTTGATACATTAGACTACTTTCTTTCGAGTCAGTGCCTCTGGTAGAATTTGTATCATAAATGATTTTCTGGTTAACACTAATTGTGTCTTTCTTAACCCCATCTACCAGATTGAACCCCAAATCTGTGTGCTTTTCTGGACTAGAATGAAAAATTTTGCTCGTAAAGTCCCTGATTTCTGGACTTCTATTTGGGAACAAATTGCCCTCTGATATGATCCCGGGAAGTACATTTCTGTCATTTACTATCTCAAGAGAAGCGTTCATCCAACTCAACTCGGTTAATGAAAATTCATTTTTTACGTCTATTGCTTTTGGTTCCTTCTCAGCGGATAATTCTCCATCCAAACTGGAAACAGAAGTATCATCTATCATACCACGTAGAACATGAGTGCTTGTTGAGTTCAAAGCCTTTGAAAAAGTGGGGTTCGTAATGATCAAAGGGCTCGTGCCCGCATTTGATGCTGATAAAAACAGTGTGTAGTTTTCAAATGGAAACATGAGCAATTGGAGTAGAAATGTTGCAGCAATTACAATGATAACTATGAAAAGCAATTTAAACCAGTGGGGTCGGAATAATAGTTGAAAGTGGTGTCTGATTCCCATAACAAGAAAAAACCTAAATGACTCGTCTTACAACTTATCCCATATCCTGAACCAAAACACTGGCCTGTTCCATAAAATAGTTACACAGTCAGCAAAACATTTAAGCATTTAGAGATTAAAACTGCAAACCTCAAAATAACCAAAGCAATGATTCAATGAATCGGCTCGTAAAGAGACTTATGTAAGATGCAAAAGTGTCAAAGAACAGGAGCCACTGATATGATACTTCTGATTTCACCAAAACTTTGATATTAGATCAGGGTACTCCAGGTTGCAAACCCCTCTTTTGACTCATAAACTACATATTCATACTTATGTACATTTTTCTTTGGATACATTAGGTTCCAGCTTATGCCTGACTAATCCTAAGCCCACAGAACTCTGTCCTAAGAGATACTCTTTTTTTTTTTTTTTGGAAAGAACTTTCTTCAGTTAAAGATCAAATTTTTGCACCCATCACAAAACTAAGCAACAGTAGCTTCACTAAAAGATCCCCATTTACATTTCTTCAGTTAAAGATCAAATCTTTTACATCCTACTTTTAGTTGACAACAAAGTGGGTAAAAGTAAGAAAAATTGCAGCTTTAATCTGTGTGAACTAAATGCAAAGAAGTACCTGGGAAATCGGAATGGAGCTTAGCAAAAACAATGAAGACCCAACATTGTCCAGCTTTGATTGTTGGCAAATTGCAAGGTTGATGAACATCTCCTGAGCAAGAAATGAAAAGGGGGTTTATGGTTGAAGACTTGAAGGCTCAGAAGCACAACCCCGTGCTCCATCGCTCAAGTTTCTTTATAATTATACTTTGGCCTCTGTAGTTCTGAAAATGCTTACTACTACCCAGCATATACAATAATATTCTGTAATTGATTTGGCTTTGTTTTAGTGATATTTGAAATTCTTATGTATATATTCTAAAATATTTAAAAATATGATGTTAAAAAATTATTTAGGCCCTGTTTGGTAAAAACTTGACTTATAGGACAATTTTGTCTTTTTTGATCACTATTAATTGTTTGATTTAGTTAAAATATCAATATAAGTGTTTGGTTAGTTGGATTTTTGCAACTCCAAAATGCTAGAATTCAAAAAGCTACTCCAAGCAACTTTTTCAATTAGCTTTTTAGAAAATAAACCATACCAAACAGCTATCAGCTAATAGCTAATTTGCCAAACACTTTTCTACAACAGCTAATGTTATCAACTAGTTATACCATATAATTAATATAATGTTATCAACTAGTTATACCCTATAATTAACACAATCAGCTAACAACTAACAACTAACAACTATCAGCTAACAGCCATTCACCAAACAGGGCCTTAATAAGTTTTTTTTTTTTTTTTTAAAAAAAAATAGAATGATGGTATGATTCATAAAATATGCTAAGTGCACAAAATAATCAATCTTCTTATATGAGGAACACTCATAATATCATCTAGAAGGATATATTGAAGTCCATTTGATAGAAGTCAAACACATAAATCTCAAACATATTGGCCATGTTTGGTTAGTAGCGGATCAGCCAAATTTTGACGGATTCGCTGACTTTGGAGTTTTGACCATGGTAAAAGCGCCAAAGTCATTGTTTGGTTAACAGCGGTTTGGAGCAACGGATTGCTCCAAACCGCTGAAATTCAACACGCTACATATAGCAGCGTGTTGGGTTGACGTTTTGGGAAAGGAACTTTCCTTCCCCAAAACACCCTCCACCTTACTTATATTAAAAAAAAAAAATTAAACTATTTATTACGAAGCCTGAGCAAGAAATTAACATTAAAATTGAAGGGGCGTTGAGCTCCCTTTTTTAATTTGACTTTCGATGTGGGACAATCCCACATCTTTTTATTTTATTTATTTATTTATTTTATTATTATTATTATTATCATTATTATTATTATTATTATTATTATTATTATTATTATTATTATTATTATTATATGTATACCATTTTAGTCATTTTACATGTTAATCGCCAATCTAAATCGCTAATTTTACCAAATATTTTTTTACAAGCCGATGATACAATCCGCTGGTCAAACCTGCTAACATAATCCGCTATTCGTTAACCGCTAATACAATCCGCTACCGCTAACCACTAACCGCTGATGGCCAAACAAGCTCATTGTCTTGCTATACAGACAAGAGAATTAGTAATTTGTTCAAATCCATATATATGTGTGCATGTTTGTATGTGTTTCACCTTGAGAATCCATTGATGCTTCTTCTAATAAGTTATAAGCATAAGAAATATTCAATAGAGAATATTGAGACATGTCATCTTTTGTTAGCCATTATTGTGGAGTTCCTAATAAATGTTTCACATGTTCCTTGGCTTCTATTACAAATTTTTTAAATAAATACGGAGTATTATTTTTTTTAAGGATTGACAACTCTATTTTAAAGAATTTTAAAAAATGAAGGATAATAAACACCATTTTTATTACATAATGAAGTTATTTGTACAAACATATTTGGTTAAATTAATTGTTACATAAAAAAAAAAAAAAAAAAAAAAAAAAAGGCATTGTCTTTATCAGTTATCAGTTAACCACAGTACTCTTCAAGTTCAAAGCGAACGGCTGCCTGTCGTCCAAAAATTGGTTCTCTAATGGAGCCATAAATATCCAAACCCCCAAAATCCCCATCCGGAAATGGAAATGGTTGCTAAAACCCTAATCTCATTCCCAATTTTCGCGCCACCACTTCCATCCCCCCACCACCACCGCCGCCCCGACACCGCCGTGGGCTTTTCGAGGTGGAACAACGCTAACGCCGAGAAGTTCAACCGGCAGGAGCGCACCCAGAAGGAAATCGAAGACGAAATCCGCTTCCAGAAGCGGCACAACGCCGCCTTCAACATCATCAGTAATTACAATCCTGCCCCTCCTTCCCCCGTCTCCGACGCCTTCAAATCCATCGGAACCCCATCTGCTCCCTCCAAGCCTTCAATTCCGGGTAAGAAATCGAAATACTCGAAACCTCCCAAGAATCCCGAGCCTTCACACCCGGCCTTTCAGCCGGTTGTTCGGCTCAGAAAGATCCCAAAAAGGGGCGATAAATCGAATATCTATAGTGACAATGATGGGGATAAGGTCGAAGATGAATCCCAAGAGTGTAGTACTAATATCAACGTCGATGAAAATGGTATCACGTATGAATTCCCTGAAGCTCCATTTGTGTACCAGTATAGTTACACTGAGACACCAAAGGTGAAACCTTTGAAGCTCAGGGAGCCATTGGTAATGCCATTTGAGCCTCAAACTATGGCAAGGCCATGGACCGGGCGAAAGCCCCTTCCTCCGAGCAAGAAGAAGTTGCCGGAATTTGATTCGTTTAAGCTGCCACCGCCCCATAAGAAGGGAGTGAAGCCGGTCCAAGCTCCGGGTCCTTTCTTGGCAGGGTCTGGACCAAAGTATGTGAAGTCCAGAGAAGATATTTTGGGGGAGCCTTTGAGCAAGGAGGAAATTGAGGAACTCATTAGTAGCTGCAATAAAACACAACGACAACTGAATATGGGTATGTGACTTGATACAAAGGCCATTTTTATATGTGGTGCTTCATTTGTATAGTTTTCTTGTTAATTGTTTTTACATATATGTTGGATGAGTGGATCATTGACTTGCCTTATTTGTTGAATTTGAAATTTGAAACCCAAAGTATAAATGTAGATATAATGTCATCTAGTATGTGGATTTTACATCAAGAGGTGATGGAATTTTCAAAAAATTGTACTTGTAGTGAAATTTTCTATTTTTCTTTATGACTGAATGGCACCAATGAGCAAAAGTTCATATTTATGGTTGTATTTTGATGCCTACCGTTTCTTTTTCCAGGAAGAGATGGCCTGACCCATAACATGTTAGAGAATATCCACGCTCATTGGAAGCGAAGGAGGGTGTGCAAAATAAAATGCAAGGGGGTTTGTACCGTAGACATGGATAATGTGCGAGAAAAACTGGAGGTTTGTCTTTGAAATTATATAATTGCGACAACTCTGCTTTTTTTTTTTTTGGGTGTAATATTTTTTGGTATGAATCGAAGGTCACCATAACTCCATAACTTAGTTCCTCAAGTATCAGCTAAGGCTGAGTCTTGATCTTGAGGATAATTTTATTTCTTACAAGTTACGAGAAAGAAAGACAAAATATAGGATGGTATCTAGAGTTATATTTACAGTTTTTCTTGTGCTTCTAAGAAAGTGAAATGTTAAATAACAGGAAAAGACGGGTGGCAAGATCATATACAATAAAGGTGGTGTGATTTACCTTTTCCGTGGTCGAAACTACAACTACAGAACACGCCCGCGGTTCCCTCTTATGTTGTGGCGTCCCGTTACTCCTGTATACCCTAAGTTAGTACAACGAGTCCCTGAAGGTCTGACATTAGAGGAGGTGACTGAAATGCGTAAAAAGGGACGCAGTTTATTGCCAATTTGCAAGCTTGGTATGCTGACATTTGTTTCTCCGACTTACAAAATGGAGTGATGAAATAGTATACTGATCTCTATTTTAATGTAAAATGTTGCGTTTTGCAGCAAAAAACGGTGTATATTGTACTCTTGCAAAGAATGTAAGAGAAGCATTTGATGCTTGCGAACTGGTTCGAATCAACTGCCAAGGATTGAACCCAAGTGACTACCGGAAGATAGGTGCAAAACTTATGGTATAGTAATCTGCAGTATTGTCTATGTTATACTCTGAGTTATTATAGCTATATGAACAAGTATGTAATGTCATTTGTATAAAGTTGCTTGTTGCTTGTTGCTTGAAATGCAGGATCTTATTCCATGTGTTTTAATCTCGTTTGAGCAAGAACACATACTCATGTGGAGGGGACGAGAGTGGAAATCCTCTATACCTGAAGTCAAAGACAAACCAAATAGAGGAATGGAAACTGTAGCTAATAATGCAGTTTTGGAGGGCCAAGAATCTTCATCGCCATCTTGTATTCCCAGCTTATCGGTTACAGACACAAGCTCCGACCATCCGAGTGAAAGTACCTCTTTGACGGGCAGTGAGGATGCAAAAATAGGTAGAAGTGATGATGGGAAAGCAGAAGAACTCGAGGATCACAAGTCTGAATCAAACGTTATAACATCTGTGGCGGCTTCAACTTTGGAGCGTGTTAGTGAAAACGAGAGAATACTTGAGAGCTCACTTCTGCCCGAGGAGGAAGAGATGGGAATCACTAGTGATGACGAGCAGCAATCAGAAGCTCTATCTCGGGCCCCATTGAACGAGGAGAAGCAGCAAGCTGAATCAGAAACGCCAAACGATAGCAACAACCCGGTGAGCACGAACAAACCTTGGACGGAGGGCGTTTTACTACTTCGGGACCAGGCTATTGAAAGTGGGAGCGCACTTATTTTAGATGATTCTTGTTTGGATGCTGACATTGTATATAAAAGGGCAGTTGATCTAGCCATGTCTGCACCTCCTGGGCCTGTGTTTAGATATCCACACAAAAAATTGGCAGATCAGCCTACCAGCAAGCAAGAAACTGGTGATTTAGAGGCCAAAGAAAGAACAAAACCCATTCTTGGACCAAAGAAAGAGAAAGAAAAGGGTATAGTTTTGGTTCAGAGGGTAACTGAGAGGAAAGTTTTGAGAAAAGATAGGATAGTGAAAGGTAGTAGAGAAGACAATTTAAATTCTGGGCTGAGAGTAGATGAACTTGCTAAATTACTAGGCTAGGCTTCCCGGAGTGATTCTTGATCACTTTCTGGAATTTAGTAGATAATTTTGTATTTATTTTTCTGGTATTTTTGTAACAAATAATTGTTTATATTTCTATTTTTGTAACGAAATTTCTTCAAGGTGACATACTTCAAGACCATTTGTAAATGCCATCATGTTGTTTAACCAGGGACTTATGTTACCAAAATACAAACATACAAATAGCTTAAATGAAAAAAATAAAAATAAATTACATAGTGATAGAACTAACCTAAATCCGTATAAATTATGAGGTTTGAATAGTAAAAAGAGATAATTGTAGTAATATTAAGTGGATTAATGTAAGAATACTACGAGGATTTTGTAAGAATAGAACATGATTTGACTGGCATCAGTTCACGTGGGAGCGGTCAAGGGGTACTGCTAGTATGATTGAGGAGAAGTTTGATAGAATTTTAACAAATGATACATGGCTAAATCTATTTGAGGGAGCAAAGGCAACTTCTTTATTATGTCCCAATAGTGATCACCTCCCACTCCTTCTAACGTTAGTGCTTGTGACTCGTGTTCGGGGATGTAAGCGGTTCTGTTTTGACAATATGTGGCTGCGAGAGGACAGGTGTAGGGAGATTGTTTGCCAAAGCTGGGATCGGACAGTTGGGTTTGATGTACTTCATCGTATTGAATGTCTCGGACAAGATATTGGTCGTTGGGGCCGAACCTATAATCGGGATTTTCTAAAAAAAAAAGAACAGTGCAAAGTCAGAATTGACGGGAGGTATGGTCTTTCAAAGATTACGCGAGATGAACTTAGCACTTTTGGGAAAACAAGCCTGGCGCCTTGTTAAGAATCCCTCTTCCCTTGTTGCTAGAGTGTATAAGGCCCGTTACTACCCGCGGTCAAATTTTTTTGAGGCCAAGGAAGGTAGTAATCCGTCCTATATTTGGCGTGGGATGCTGGCAGTGCAGAATTTGTTAACGGATGGCTGTAGTCGTGCAATCGGTAACGACATTGATACTCTAATTGGAAAAGAGCCTTGGTTGCCAGCTGATCAAGATCCTTAGGTACAAACTGAGTTACATGAGACAATCTTCAACGCTCCCGTGGCTTCGCTACTAAACGAGCAAGGTACGTCATGAGATAGTGATTGTGTTAAAGATATTTTTAATGCCCGCGATGCTGAGTTAATTATGAAAATTCCAATTAGTTTTCGCAAGCCTACTAATTCATGGGTCTGGCATTGGGAACATAAAGGGGAATACACTGTGAAGTCTAGCTATAGACGGTTAATGGGTTTGATGCATGATGCAATCAGAGTGTATGGCAAGGGGTTGCCTTTGATCTAAATTTGATGTTGCGCCACACCCTCTTGTTCCTGGAAAATTGGCATGCAGCGAATGAAACCACTTAAGCTCCTAGTGTACCTAGTCATGATGAACGGTGGTCAAAACCGCAAAGAGGGAGATTAAAGCTGAATATTGATGTTGCCATCAACCAAGCTAGTAATACTATGGGACTTGGATGGGTCCTTCGGGATGATAATGGCATATTTCTTGCTGCGAAGAATGTGTGTTTGTAGGGTATCTATGACGTGAAAGAGGCTGAAGCTATTAGCATGAGGGAAGCCGCCTTGAGTTGGTTCAAAAATACAGGAATGGGTGAAGTTGATGTGGAAACAGACTCGCAATTACTTTTTAACGCTATTTATAGTCCTTCATTTTTTCTGCTTTTGGATTAATAGTAAGAGACATTAAAGAAGTAGCATCGTTGATTATTGATGTTGATTTCCGGTTTGTCAAGCGATCTGCGAATTGCGCCACCCACCTTATTGCTCGGGAAGTCGTTTTTGAGTCAGGTTGCGAGGAGTGGTTGAATGTCCCTCCTCCTTTTCTTGATCATGTTCTTGATATTGACTTAATGAATTAAGCTCTTTTCCTAAAAAAAGAAAAAAGAAAAAACAAAAAAGAACATGATTTGTAATAACTAGACAATGACAATTTAGATTTCAACCGATTTAGTTAATTTCCAATCATTATGCCATGGAACTGTGTCCACCCTGCAAGGTGGACACGGTTCTATGTTCATAATTATTGAACTATATGTTCATAATTATAAAGTTATATATTCATAATTTTTGAACTTCATATTCATAATTATTGAACCCTATATTCACAATTACAGAACTCTATGTTCATAATTACCAAGCTATATGTTCATAATTATAAAGCTATATATTCATAATTTTTGAACTTCATATTCACAATTATTGAATCTATATTCATAATTACAGACTATATGTTCATAATTTTTGAACTATATATTCATAATTATGAACAATTTTGGAACCGTGTCCACCTTGCAAGGTGGACACAATTTCACAGCATAATTTGCCGTTAATTTCACGGTGGCCACAAGACCGGGTCAAAGCCCTCACGGAGTCACGGTGGGCTGCGGGGTTGGGTCAAATCCGGCCTCCTCAGTCCCAGAGACGGGCTCCGAGGCAGAACGGTGATCTCCTAGGACCAGTCGTAGAGGCTGGGCCTCGGACCCAGGACTTGGGCGGGTCCTTGCTCCCGGGTCCCTTGTCTTGGACCCCCGCATCTCTTTTGATGGGCTTGGGAGTTCTTCTATTTATCTTGAATTGGTTCATCTTCTTAGGCCGCTCAGACCTTCTTCTTGCGCTCGATTCTAGACTCCAAAACTTCAGATATGTTAAGAATTTTGATGCCCATTGGCCGTTAGCTCATAACCGTTGTATTGTTGGCAACATTAGAGTGTAAAGGGAAAGCAGAAGAAAAATAGTAAGAAATAGAGACAAGAGAGATCAGGGAAAAAGGATTAGCAATTCAGTCATTTCATTATATCCTTTTACATCATATACATAATCTATATAGATTGACTGTTACAAATCAAGGCATTAATACCATAATAATGTCCATAAATAAAAATTTATAACAAGATCTCTATTTTTGAGTCATTTCTAATACTCTATTACATAGTTATTAAATCATAAATATCTTAATTTATTACAATAAATAAGTAGAAACAGTCATGAGAATTATCGATTTATGGAATTAGGATTTAGGTCCATGTACGTCACGCTCCTCCATTTGGTTTTTTTGGTTGTTCATGCGAACCACGTGTTTCAAGCCTTCAATAAATTATGATTTTTTTTTTTTTTGGGGTGTAATAAAAGGAAAAAAAAAAGCCAAAAAGATAAAATAAAAAAAAACCCATCTTGTCTCTTTGATCTTTCTCACCCCGCTGGTTTCAGGCCCCAACATTTGCTAGCTCAGTTCTCATCTCTCTCTCTTAGCTTCACCAAGGGTTTCATCTTTCTCTCATCATCAGGTCTATCTCTCTCTCTCTCTATATATATATTGTGTGTGTGTTGTCTCTCCCTATATATGCTGGCCTTTTGTTTCAGAGAAGCTTAAAGTCTGTAGCTTTAGCTTAAATATATCAGTTTAAGTTGGGAATTCTATTCAATTTTTATCGGTTTTGTTGAATTCAATTTTTTCTTTTTTGTTTTTATTTCTTGAATTTTTAAATCACGAGATGGTCTTTAGATAGATCTGTACCTAAGGATTTTTAGTTTTTATTTTATTTTATTGTCTGCTCAATCAAGACTTGAGATTTTTGGATTGATATGGCTGTGAGTTTCCAGTTTCTGTTTTTTGGATTTGAATCTGATGAACTGTGCTGATTATTAGCTGGGATTGATAAGAAATTAATTCTAAGAAAAAAGATCTGTTTAGTTGATTTCGCTGCGATTATTGACATTTTGTTGTGTCTTTCTGTATTGAAGTAGCAGGTGAAGTAATGTCTTATATTCCTTATATCTCCCTGGCAGTTTGCAAAAGTCTCGTCTTTAAATACCCATCCTTGAGATAAAAATCACATTTTTGACATACCTATTATGATTTCTATTCTCTCCTTTTAAAGAACGAAAGGGGATCTAATAGCATTTCTTATGCTCTAATTATGTATAGCAGTAAGTCAATGCCAAGGACTAATAGCACGCTTATATATATGGGTTTGCAGCGTTCACTGACAAACATTTTAAGTGTTAGATTCAAGGTTGCCAAATTTCTAATTGTTGTTCTTTCGATGCTTTATGTTATTTAGTAGTATCATCAGTCAGTCTGTAACTCTGCCTGAAGTTATTTCGTGTCTAGTGTTTACTCTTTTGGCGGATCGAAAGCCTGTTCTAATGATAGCATTGGAAAACTTTGTTACTTTACCTTTGCAGATAACTTGAGAAATCAGTATTATCAACTACTCCATAGTCCATACATAATATTATGCATCAAAGCTGTGCAGATGGAAAGAGTTGAAGAAATATAATCACGTTTACATACTTTCTGTTTCTTTAATATGGAGGATGAAAATGGTCTCAACCTGAGCTTGGGCCTACCTTGTGGTGGCGGTTCTGCCTCACAGAAAGGTAAAACCGGGAGCTCCTCAAATTTCAGGGCAGAAGAAGGTGATAGAGATAGCAAACTGATCAATGATTTCAAGAATTTTCTTGACGGTGGTACACAAAAGCATGATTCTGTTATCGGGTTGCACAGAGGTGATCTGGTGAAAAATGAGGGGAGCTTCTTTAATGACCTTTCCGGTACTGCTGCCAATGTAGATGCTGCTAAAAAGTTGAATAGTGGAGGATTCTGGGGTGCAAATAGTGGTCGGTCTATTGAAGTTGAAGAAGAAAAGACAGCAGATGGTGGTGATAGGCATAAAAGCTTATTTGGAGAGACAAGTCACAAAAGGAAGCGTGAAAGGGACACTCATAATTCTGACTTGCATGACAAAACGAGGACATCACACATTTCGATCAACACAGACGATGACTCGACTGGAGACAATGAAGATGTGGCTGATTCTGAGGCCGAGGGTTCAACATCACGACAAGTTTCACAGCCTGATGATAGCTCCAAGCGACGTGTCGGGAGTAGTGGTCAAATCGAGATTAATAAGGAAGTTCATGGAGTTTCTGATTCTGGAAATGCAGAACTATCTGGACAAAGAAGGTTTTCGATTTCTTCAGAGAAGGAAGTTAAGTTTGGGAATATGTCTTACGGTGTTCCTTTCTCTCAACCAATAAACATCGTAAACATGCCTTACTCTCTACCTTCGAAAGATACTAATCCTAGTGGTACAGTTGGTGCACCAAATTATCCAGTCCCCGGTATGGTGCAAATGATGGCTGCCACCGGTGGTGAGCGACAAGGAACCCAGCCTCTCATGCCTGCAAACATGCCACTGATGTTTGGATATTCTCCTGTACAACTATCCTCACTGGACAAAGATAATGCTCGTGTTCCAGCCTCTCATCTTCAGCGTCAACAATTACACCCGTCTTATGCCCGAGGTCCTTTGAACCCCGACAAGCACAGTGAAGGGTTGAAGATAACTCAAGGTTCTTTTTTGCTCTTTCTGATGTTTTCGTTTTGCTATTGCCATTTTGTTTCTGTGATAACAAGTTAACAACAGAAATAGTCTTTGGTGATTTTGAGTGTTGAGGTGAGCGGGAGAAAAAAAATTGGTATAATTTAACCCACAGAACTTTTTATATATAAGCCTATAGTTACTAAGTACCAATAGTATAATGTCAATGGGATAGATACTAAGGATTTTCGATAAGATAACCTTACTTCTCTTTTTCTCTCTTCTCTTGCTGCTACTTCAATCCAGCTCACTTCTTCCATAGTCACAACTCTTCTTGATCCTTAGACTCTATTTTCTTCACTTCCTTAATCTAATCTCAGTCTGAAAAGTGAAAACCTCTATAATCCCACACTACTTCTTTGATTCCCATTCCCCACTGGATTTTTGGGGCATTTAGGTTGGTTTGTCGGTTTGAGATGTTAGGTGTGCAAGTTACAATTCTGGAAGTATACATTGATTGGGTGAGTAATTGAGAATAATTCAAGATTGTCAAGTTTGGAAAATGAAAATGCAATTGTGGGCAGTGGGATTCAAGAAAATTCACAATTAATTTGTTTAATTCTTGATTCTGGTGGAGCCGTGGGATCGAGGGGGTGTTGAGAATGCTGTTGTGTCTTTTTGTAAAGGCATGGGTTATGGAGCTTGTGTTAAAATCTTTGTTGCGGAAAGAATGATTACAGGATCAAATGCGGGTTTTAAATTGGGGAATCTATAGAAACTGGAAATATGCAGAACCTATTTTCTGGAAGAAACCATATAATTATACTATCAAAGGAAATAATGTAAACTATCCATGAAATTCCTGCTAAATGTTGGAATACTCATCAAAGCTTTAAATTGGAGGAAATGATTTAGCTTGATATGCTTTTGTCTCAAATTTAGTAGCACCCGATATATTCATTCTTGTGATTACTAATGAATTCTTAATCCAAAACTCATTAATGGTAGGAAACTATTTCCTAGAATTAAAAAAAAAAAAAAAGGGTACTTATCGGGGGTAACCCCAGCCAAGATGGCTAAGGATACAAACTTGTAACCATTCCGAGTCCGAGTCCCAGCCTTCTTAGTTTGAGCCGGTCAGCTATGGACAACCTAAACTGGTTTACCTCCTTATGGTCCTTTGCCGACTATTACCTAGTGCACACTCTCGGGTAGTGGCCGCAGGTTTCCCTCGTCACCCAAAAAAAAAATTGGAATGTGCTATTCATAGTTTTTCTCTTTTTTCGCTTATAACTCTAAAATGAGGTTCCTTGTGCCTATTGTGTTGATGTAGCTTCAGTGCCAGTGGTTGCGCTCAAGCCATCTGAATTTTCACAATATGACAAAGGAAGTGGGAAACAGCACGCTGCAGAAGAAGGTTCGTCTACTCGAGGGGAAGAGAACGTGAGAGGAAGCAACGTAAGCTCCAGGGGAAAAGACCCGTCCGAACTGCCTAAACCAGACGGTCTTCCTTCCGAATTTCCAGCAATCAAGCCAGGTCTGGCTGCAGATGTGAAATTCGGGGGGTGTGGTTCTTATCCAAATCTACCGTGGGTTTCAACAACCGGTTCAGGCCCAAACGGTAAAACAATATCTGGTGTCACTTACAGGTTCAGCGCAACCCAGATCAAAATTGTGTGCGCTTGTCACGGGTCCCACATGTCCCCGGAAGAGTTTGTGAGGCATGCCAGCGAAGAGCAAACGACCCAAGATGTTGGCAGCGGTGTAACATCGTTTCCAAACAGCAACTCTGCAGCCTCGGCTCAAAGCTGAAAAACAGCTGTATAGTCTCATAAACACGCCTAAAACAGAAGACCAAAGCTTTTCTGTTTCAAACCTCGGTAATATATACATATATTTACGCCTCGTGGGATGAGCACAGAATCTGCGATTCGCGAAACTCTTCCAGTCCTCTGCTTGAATTGGATCCTTCTCCTCTAGCTAGCACTAATTGCTGCCTTCTGGTATGATAACCAGTTGTATGTAATAATTTGTATCATCTTTTTTTGCCAAAATAGATCCTGAAGCATTTTGGTTGTCTAGCACCAAATTCTCCTTTGTGTATGTACATGATGCAATATATTTGATCTCAATTTAGCAGCCTTGCATGCTGCATATAAGAGTTCAAAGTTTTTATCATTTGTTGGACATTGTGCAGTAAATGTTTATCATATTGTTGAGTTTTCTGTCTTTGAAGCAAACATTTATCATATTTATCAAGTTTTAAAACTCAAGTTTTGGCCCTTTTGGGGCAATCCAACTTGGTTAAGTGATTGACTTGGTAATCACAATGTTTTTTGGTTTGAGCTTATCAACTATGGGTAAACTAGACTGGTTTACCTCCCAGTGATCCTTTGCCTGCTTGGATCATAAGATGGAATTTATTCAGTGTAGACTCTCAGGTAGTTGTTGCAGCCTGTGAGTTTCTTCATCACTTTAAAAAATTAAAGTTTTAAACTTTTCTTTCTTAATTTTTGAAAAAAAAAAAAAACTTTTCTTTCTTATTTTTGTTTCTTAAATTTTAAGTGTCTTTTTATTCTTCGATTTACCGGAACTGTTGCCCAAATATGTGTTTTGGGTGAAACTCACTTTGTAACCTAGCCAACAGAGGACCACAAAAAGTTGAATTAATTTAGTTTGTACATAACTGACCAACTTAAATCAAGAAAGCTAAGCTAATAAAGTCTGTTTTGTTTTATTCTATATTGTTGACTTCTGATCATTAAAAGTGCAATTTCATTATGAATGCATTTTGTGTAACTTTGGACAATTTATAATACATTGACTAATCTGCACAGTGTAACTACTCCACTTAATTTTCTCATTTGGTCCACCCTCCTATGAATATGGACAGTATATACTTATATATATTCTACATGCAAGAATCAATATTAAGACTTTTTTTTTTTTAATTTATTATTTGAAGTTGGCCTAATGTCTAATTTGTTAAATTAAATTTAAAAAGTGTCTAATTTTTATTTAAAAAAAAAAGTGTCATCACTCATCACACTTCATGACGCTTTGAGTAATATAATTGAATGTATTGATTTGCAATATTGATGAAACATGCTTTTATCTGTCATGCTACTCTCATTATATTGTTCTTTATTGACTTAACAAAAAATTAATTCTATTGAGAATATAATACATATAGAACATAAATATATAGTCTAACTATCAATTTATGTTTTAAATTGAGACGAAAACATTACTCAATTAATTACACTTTGAACTCTTAAGTATAGTGTAAATTTCATATTAAGTTCAAAATTTATTTTATTTTATTTTATTTTACTTTTATTGAGATGCATGTAATACCGTGAATGAGGTCTTAGGGTCAGGTCCCTTTGCGGTCATGTGGCAGCCTCATAGGGTTGCCATGAGCAGAATGGCGACGATGCATCTTGCATGGCCTTACGACCTGGGGGCATTGCAGCCTCGTCGGGGCACCGTTCAATGGAGTTGGGGAGGTGCATAAACGCACTCGACGACACATAAATTTGTGATAATAGAAGAATGAAGCACCTCAACATTGTTACTATTTTGAATAGAAGGTCACCCGTATTAGCAGGGCCGGGTTTTAGGATGTGCAAGCTGGGCTACCGTACAGGGCCCCTAATTTTAGAGGGGCCTCAAATTTTAGAGGCCCAATATTTAATATTTATCTAGCTAGTTTAGAAATAAAAATTAAAAGTTTTCAATTAAATTTAGAAGGTTCCATAAAGAGATGGTTACAATGTGTATTTATTATATTTTAACTTGGAGGTCAAAGGTTCGAAACTCGCATATGTTAGTATTAAAAATTATGATTTTAGAGGACCACAAAAATCTAAAATTCGACCTGCGTACTAGTCTCATCGTATTATATTTTCCTCTTGATCCAATCCGTTTGTATTTTTAAAACACAATAAATCTATATAAATAGTAAACTAGCAGGTAATGTCGTTATTTTATTTATATAATTATACAGCTATATAAACCTTCTCACATCTGCATCACCATTCACCTACTGCAATATAGATCCAAATTCAAAGTTTTGGCATCACCCAAGAATTAAATAATAATAATAATAATGATAATAATTTATACTTAATTAATATGCTGAGACTGAGACATAAAACAAAACAACATATGACAGGTCATTAAAATAAAGAAAGCAAAGGAGTAATGTTTGTAGGGAGTCCTTTGAGGGAGGTTTGGTTTGGGGCATTCTACAGTTTGACTAGTAATTGCAGCCGTTGATTCTTGAAAAACAGGATGATGCTCTCAAGCACATCATCAACGGCTCAAAATTACTCGCATGCTATTGATTCTAAAGACAATTTTTTTTTTTTAATGGTACATTTTGGCGATAAGGTTAGGTATCTAAAGTCTCACTTCATTTTGTATCTTCTTTTACCATATTTAAAAAAAAATAAAAATTGTAGGTGTGTTTAAAAATAATAGGACGAGATATAAGTTACTGTTATAATCTAGAGATATCTAAATCTTTGATTTATGGGAAAGTCAGCAACAACTACTGGACTACATGAAGGTAGGCTCTAATTGTAGCCTGTCTTGTAACCCTAACTGGCAAAAGATTACAATGAGGTAAACCAGTTTAGATAGACTGAAATAAAAAAAAAAAAAAAAGACTAACAGACAAAAGTATTGATCGAATTTAAAACTTTGTGGTTATCAAATAAATCGTCTGATTAACTTGATTGGAGTTGCTCCGTCGAGGAACTAAATTTGACACTTTAATAAGTGGCATATTAGCAATGGAGTTGGTCCCTCATGAATCAAATCCACCACTTTGATAATAGCTGTGTGAGTAAATTTACACGGTGCATAATTAAAAAAATTAAATTTATAACACAGTTATAACTGAGGAATTAAAAATATAGATTCCTCATGCTCTCAACCATATAAAATATAGCTTCACCCACAACAAACCAATGCAAAGCACCACCAATGATAGACACTAGCTTGTGCATACAAACAAATGTATTTACAAGCCCCAAACCTCAACTCTCTAATCCCCATGAAAACCATATTCAACATGATCATCTCTCTGCTCATCCTCCATCTCATTTTCTTGAATGTAAAAGCCCAACACCCTTCAACAATAATCCCAAATGATCAATCACCAGACACCAACACTTTCCAACCAAGCCTAGTTGTGGTCATAGGCATCCTAGCCATCATGTTTTCCCTAACATTCTTCCTCCTCCTCTATGCCAAATTCTGCCACAGGGCCTCCATCCTCAACACCACCCTGCAGATCCCCGATGCCCTCCTCGGCTCCTGGAGGCGTTCCTCGGGGATAGACAAGACGGTGGTGGAATCCCTCCCGTTCTTCAGGTTCTCCTCGTTGAAGGGGTCGAGGGAAGGGCTCGAGTGCTCGGTCTGCCTGTCGAGATTCGAGGACATCGAGATCCTCAGGCTGCTGCCCAAGTGCAAACATGCATTCCACATCCACTGCATTGATCAGTGGCTGGAGAAGCACTCCAGTTGCCCTCTCTGCAGGCATAAGGTCACTGCAGAAGACCTGTCTTTAATGAACTTTTCGAGCAGCCTGAGGTTTCTCTGCAGCGATTCGAGGGAGGAGTCTAGCCTTGGACTGTACATTCAGAGACAGGAGAGCTTCAAATTCGGGTCACGAAAGATCAAGAAAGACGAAAAACTGCCTATACAGAATGATCAGAGCCTGCAGAAACCTCTGCACCATCTGAATCATAGGATCATAGTCTCTGATGTTGTCCTCAAGAACAGATGGAGCAGTGTAAGTTCATCAGACCTCATCGCCTTGAACTCGGAACTGATTCGAGACAGATTCTCATCATCATCATCATCCCTGGCAAATCCAGAATTCTCTAGCAGCTTTGGCTCCAAACACCCCCATGATGAGATTCAAAGCATGAGTATTAAGGAAGAAATGGAGCGAAAAAGGTTGTTCGAAATCAAGGTCAATAAGAACAACCCTTCATTCCCAATCCCAACAACATATGCAGAAACAAAGAATCTTAGTCAGAAAGAAAAGAGGTCCATGTCGGAGATAGTAGTTCATCCGAGGTTTAGAAATGGGAATGTTCAAGATTACTGTGATGTTGTTTCAGATGAGAGAAGAAGAAAGCTTTGGCTGCCAATTGCAAGAAGAACAGTCCAATGGTTTGCCAAAAGAGAAAGGAGGTCAGCTCATGAATCCCAGATTCCCAGTACACAGCACAATCCTTAGAGACATAACATCCAACATATACTCTTAGTTTCTTGATCTTTGTACTTTATTGTTTTTTAATTTTTCCCAGTTATCATAAACCTTGAAGTTCACAGAAAACAGTTAAAGAAATCATAAAAAATTTTGAGAAGGGATATGCATGTAGGGATGACCACAGATCAATTCGAACCAAACTAGGCACGGTAAAAATCGAACTGGAACTAGAACCCTATGAACAGTTCTGGTTCCAAATAAAAAAAAAATAAAAAAATTCAGAACTATTTTTTTTTAGTTTAACTTTAAAGTTTAAATATTTGATATAACCATTTTTTTTAAAAAAAAATCATAATGAAAATTTTAAAAATAGAAAATAGAATTTACAAATAAAATAAAAAAAAATCCTTGATCGACAGACCGTTCAAACTGGAACTACCCGTTCCGGTTTGTCATTTTTTTAGTTTAATTTTAAAGTTTAAATATTTCATATAACCATTTAAAATAAATTTTAGAATGAAAAATTTTAAAAATAAAAAATAGAATTTACCAAAAAAAAAAAAAATCACAGTTCGGGAGTTCAAAGCTGAACCACCGGTTCCCATTTGTCAATTTTTTAGTTTAATTTTAAAGTTTAATTTTTTTTTTTAAATACTCCTTCTTTACAAGGTAATATATGTTAAATATTTTTAGCCCAAAGAATCAAAGTCCCCACCACCGGAATTCAAACTTATGATCACCTATTTGGAATGATAACCTGGATGCCATCACATGTACTACATGGTAGTTGACAAAGTTTAAATATTTGATATAATTGTTTTTTAAAATTTCAAAATGAATTTTTAAAAAAAAATCTCAGTTCAACTGGCAATTTAAACCGATTTGTCATTTTTCGGAACTGCGGTCATGCATAATGCATGTATCCTCCAACTTTTTTATTTTTTTTTGAGTGACTAGGGAAATCCACAGCTACTACTCTAGGGTATGCACGAGATAAATCCTGTTTTGTAACTTTAGTCATCAAAAAATTATAAATCCTGTTTTGCCAGGACTATGTGGTCTAATGGTATCCGGGTTGGACTTCCATTTGGAAGATTATGAGTTCAAGCCTCAGTGGAGGCGTTATTGGTTCTTTGTATTTCAGTAGGTTGAGAAAGTATATGAACAGATACTACAATGTAATAGAGCCAGTAACTTTCAAAAAATCTTAGGTTATACATAGTTGACTGGACTTGTATCCTCCTCTTTTCTTTAGATGATATGATAGTTGTTTAATTAGTTCATCCAATTAAGTAGATACAGCTGATCAATCCTCAATCTGTACAACATTATTATATATGGCAATACTTGACTTTGCAATTGTTAATTAACAGTTATAACAAAACTAGTATTTATAAAGACTTTTTGAGTCCAGGTAGTTGTGTTTCTGTGACTTAGTTAAATAATTATCCTATGTGCATGTAAATGAATTTGTTGCAATATATTTTTCTTTAAAATTCAAAATTATCAAAAGATCATGAATTCGATTCTTGCCAACACCCTCTTAATTAGTTGAGTCTATCACAAAATTTTTCTAATATGATTTATCTCTCAAAGTTTCTGTGTCATTTATAATATTGACGACGAATTCTTGTCTTAAAAAAAAAAAAAAAAAACAAGGAGAAACTTAGACAAAACTGCACCCTTCCAGCCTGGTGACGTGCGTTGTATTATATGCCTTAGATTATCAGTCTCAACTGACAACTTTCAAGACTTTGGATGGTGGTTCAAAGTTTAGTATCAAAATGTTAAGTTAGTTGGATGTGGAATGAAAAAAAGAATTAATTTCACTTTTGGTCCCACAACTTTTGATGTTCTATCACTTTTGGTGCACAACTTTAAAATTTTTTAATTTTGGTGCCTAACTTTGTTATTTTTATCAGTTTTGGTCCTTCCGGCCAAATTGACAGCGAAATGTTGTTGGATTTTATATTTTTAGGGGTAAAATTGTCATCCTAAGGAAGCATCTTCAATATCTAAACAAAATCACTTAAAATCATATCTATAGGTGTTGATCGATGAGAATAATGGGGAAGACGGGCAGAAACCAGACAGATCTATGGGATTTATAGTTTCGACAATTGCCAAACTCTTTTTTTCCTTTTAATATGATTTTTCTTTTGTTTAAATATTGAAGATCTTTAAATTGGATGACGATTTTGTCCCTAAAATATAAAATCCGGAAATATTTTACCATCAATTTGGCTGGAAGGACCAAAACTGATAAAAATAACAAAATTAGGCACCAAAAGTGAAAAAATTTAAAGTTGTGCACCAAAAGTGATAAGAACTCAAAAGTCGTGGGACCAAAAGTGAATTAATTCATGAAAAAAATTGGTTTTTTTTTTTTTTTTTTTTTAAAACTAAATCAAACAACTAATAGTGGTTAAATAAGTCAAAATTAAATGATAAGTTAACTATTTTACCCAAAAGTACTTATTTGCATACTCATCATTTAAATTCACTTTTTAAGTTACCTTCTGATGTTAAGTAGTGGTTTATTCTGATCATTGTCATATCTCTCTTATTCACTTTTCTAACTTTGAACTCTTATTTATACGGAGTATTTATTTAACTTGTTTGGTTGAAAAAAAAAACAATAAACATGAAGAATTATACTCCGTAGTATTTGTTATTGTAAATCACATTAGTTAATTAAAACTTTTTATAAAAATAAAAATTTTCTATTTGAATATGATGCATAATTCATCCTTCAATTATAATTAATTAAAACACCTCTAATTACTCCAAATTAAACTCCAAAGTACAATTCAAGGACTGTGCCTTGCAATGAAAAATTATTCCCCAAATAGGACAATTAGTGGGTATACAAAACACTGTTTTATTATAATAAATCAATTAAATAACAGTAATTAAGTACGGAGTATTAGATAAGTATTAAACCAAACTAGTGGCTGAGCTTATTTACCAAATATTATTTATTTTTACAATAAAAAATACAAATTACATAACCGGTGGCCAAAATTTGTCCTATTTCATTATTTATTTATTTATATAATTTCCCTCCAAGATATATTTTAATTAACACGAAGTTGACGTCACTGTTTCATTTTTATTTTTACTTTTTTTACTCTTTTTTTTTTTTTTTTGTCCAGGGCGTAAGAGACTGAAAAAATATAATTTATTTCCTTAAATTTAATAACCACAATCTGTCCGTTCTGCTGTCCATGATGATTTTTAAAAAAATAATTATAATTTATTTATTATTAAACTGTTTTTTTTTTTTGAAAACTAATTATAATTTATTTATTATTAAACTGTTTCGTCATGGCTGATTAAAAAAATATCATAAAACAACACGTCCCTAAATTTCATTGATGAGGAGGTTAACGACAATAATCTTTGTTGTAATTAATTCCTTAAATAAAATCTATGAATAGTGAAGGAAAAGGTAACCATTATTTATATTAAGATAAAGGCTTACCATTCACATCAAAAGTTATAACTAATAACAAAGACGCAACTTATTTCCTTACTTATAGACTGCGATCACATTATTCGATATAGACTGGGTGCTGGACTTGACCCTTAGGGACTTTACTGGCCCGATCTGCCCAACAGTTCTCCCAGCCACCAGGTACAAGACATGGCAATTTATATCCTACACCACGGCGCGCGTTGCACTATGCGCCCATATGCAAAACGACGTCGTTTTAATTTTTTTTTTTTTTTTGAAATTTCCCGCCCCAGTGAATGGCAGTAGTTTTTTCTTTTGAAAAAAAAACCCGCTGTTCAAGAATGTACATAATGTTATACTATAATACACATAATGTTATACATGAATGTACATAATTATATAACAAAATATACATACTCTTTTTAAAAGATAATACACATAATCTAACATAATACATAATAAACATAAACTTTTAACATAATACACATCAACTCTTAACATAATACACACAAATTTTCTGATTCGGATATACATAATTGTATAAAAAGAATGTACATAATTGTATAAAAAATACACATAACTGTATGAACCAATACACATAACGTTGTGAACAAATACACATAACGTTGTGAACAAATACACATAATCTCAGCAACTTCCTACCGCGCCTCCCAACACTACCCCAAAACGACGTCGTTTTGGGAGGCGCGCAACGCACAGTGCTATGTGCGCCGTGGTGTAGGATATAACGATTGACTAGACATGGCCCTTTTACCTATAGCCATCATATTGTTCGATACAGGCCTGTGTCCTAGCTCTGATGCCACTTGTTAGGATCAAGCGCTTACCACTCACGCTAAAAGTTATAACTAGTAGCGAAGACACAACTTATTTTCTTTCTTACGGTCATCACATTGTTCGATATAGGTTGGGTGTTGGACTTGGCCCTTAGGGACTTTACTGGCCTTCCAACAATCCCCAAATCACCGAATACTAGACATGGCGGCCCAACAATTTAGGAGGAAAAAAATAGAGCACGTAGATTATATTGATGTTGGCAATTTAAAATTTTTAAGTTCTTGAATTTTATACAAAAGAGTTCTTTGGAGTTTTTTGTACTTTTGGTCCCACGACTATAGTGGCACTAGCAGAATTGATCAACGACTTTTGAACCTTGCAATTTTAGTCCACGACTATTGATTTTTTTGCAAAAATGGTCCTTCCGGCCACTTTTCCATCAAAATTTCACCGGAAAATTTTTTTTTTAATCCATTTTTAACAGGGCTAAAATTGATATTTTACTTATCTCAAAATATAAAGGAAATACATAAAATGGAAAGGTAAAAGTGATTGCATTTGAGAATCTCCGCCGCTTCTCTCGCCGGAAATCTATACAACGAAGCTTTTCCGATGTCTTCGGATGATCCCGCAGGCGTGCTGGCTCCGCCTCCAATGCTGCTGCCGGATAACCCAACTAGCCCAGGGAACGCCACGGCCGCTCCGCCGCTTACTGACAGCCCTACCTGCTCCAGGAACTCCGCCGCCTGGGGCAGTAGTATGTAGCCCAGTAATATTGTATGTAGTCAAATGTCAATTTTTTTCTTTTATTTTTTAAGATAAGTAAAATGTTAATTTTAGCCCTGTTAAAAATGGATAAAAAAAATTTTTCGGTGAAATTTTGACGAAAAAGTGACCGGAAGGACCATATTTGCAAAAAAATCAATAGTCGTGGACTAAAATTGCAAGGTTCAAAAGTCGTGGATCAATTCTGTTAGTGCCACTATAGTCGTGGGACCAAAAGTGCAAAAAACTCAAGTTCTTTGTATATGAAGTATACTGATAAGTTGACTTTATTGAAAATGACGTTTTTACTTAAAATTTTGTAGTTTAGTGACATATGTGTACGAGAGATCTTCAGATTGATTCTCCTCACTCTTGCATGGCTCTTGCTTTGAAAGTGTTAGGCTGAAAGTAATTTTGGTTTTGAAAATAAAATTTGAAAGAACTGGGTGTTTAAAGATCGAATTAAGATTGGGTACGTTTGACTTGGGAAAGGTCTATTAGTCTTCTCAGTTTAAATTGGTTAATCATAAATAACACAAGTTGATTTACCTTTCTTGTGGTCTTTTGACAATTACAGTCACAATTCATGTTTCACCTAAAATGCACTTTCAAGTAAGAATTTGTGTTTCACTTAAGGCACACTTTCAAATAACTGCACTTTTTTTCTTTTTTTTTTTTTTTTTTTTTCGTAAATCAAAGATTTGGTGCTCTTTTTTTTTTTTTTTTTTTTCATCTGACTTTTCCAATTAGTATAAAGAAATGATAGCATTTATAAGTACATTCATTCCATTAGAAAGCTGCCCACAGGATCACAGATCATCACTGAATACCAGACCTAAGGATTAGTGGGTGAAATCTAGTGCTAGAAATTGGATGAATTCTAGTATTAGCCCTGCCAAACTCCCACATGTACTCAACAATTTATTCTCCACCAATCAATTTTCGATGAAAAGGAGTTAATACCTCCAATAGTTCACTGAGTATTAGCAATTTATCAGTTGTGATCATCCAGTTTTAATTGACTTCCAATGGTCCTCCATGTTTTAAAAAATAACCACCCGTGGTCATAATTCTTAAAAAAAAATCCGAGTTTAACATGACTACGAGACGTTCTAAAAGGACCACGGGTGATTACTTTTAAAAACATGGAGGACCATTGGTGGTCATTTAAAACTCAGATGACCACAGCTGGTAAATCGCTAATACTCGGAGAACCATTGAAGGTATTAACTCCGATGAAAAGTCGTTGTAAACTACAGCATTTCGTATAAAAATTTAGCACAAGTAACATTTTCCCGGCCACAAAATGCTCAAATGTTGCAGCAACTTCATTGTGTGGTCTTGCTTTTCCTCAAACATTCAAAGATGATAAAAGCATTGGTTTTAACATAAACTAGTATTATGGGGTTTGAAAAGATGCTGCAAGAAAGAACTTTTTTGTAGAATTATTCTCTTCTCTTCACTTTCAGCAACTATAATTTCATATTTCTTTTTGTCAATTATCAATGGCCTAAATAATACAAGCAACTGAAGCAGCCACCCTAAACTGCTTCCTGTCAGCTACTTACATTCTAACAAGGCCTTTCTTGATTTTAATGGTACATCAGAGAGATTGGAGAGACGAGATGAGATTCGAGCACAGGAGGGGGGTGGGGGGTGGGGGGTTTTCAGCTGTACAGAGGAATAAATTTTAAATATCTACGGGTACATATGGACTAACCATGGGATTGGCGATTGGGCACGGTGTTCCACTTCTAAGCAGCAATCATGCTCGTCTATGGCTTTTCAGACGGGTGATGGGGGTGTTCTACCAGTCTTCGAGCCACTCTCGAGTGTTGAGATCTTTTAAGTCTTGAGGAGGAGAATATGGCGAAGAAGAAGCATTGTCATTGCCATAGTTTACCAGGTATTGCTTTATTCGGGAGATGATTTCCAGAGGTGCTGGCGTTATACCGTCTGTTACCCCTTTCCAATCAAAACCGTAAAACCAGGGGTGACTTTTGATAGATGCAACACCTTCACTTCCGAGTCTCGAGTTCTCATCAACTTCAAGTAGCTGAATGACAATTTTTTTTTTTTTAACTACTCATATTTGTCGACAAACTTTTCTAAGAAGAGAAAGGATATAGTCCACATCGTACCTTGGAAATGAGATCCACTGCTTCATGGCTAAAAGTTTCTGGAATCGTAAACTGTCCTTTGGCAATTCTTGCAAAAGTAAGCTCACTCTCTCTCCATGATCCAAACGGCATTTCACCTTTCAGCATGAAGTAGATCAAAGTCCCCAACGCCCACCTATGAGATTTAATTACATAAAAAATTTTGAGGCTCCAAGCGGGTTGTTTAAAACATGGTTAAAATTTAAAAATAGACTTTGAAAAAGATAAAAGGCGCATTATTATACCAATCAACAGCAAAACCATGGCCTTTTCCTTGGACTATTTCTGGGGCTAGAGAGTCGCTCATCCCGCATATGGTAAATGTTCTCTCGTTAGACACACCAGATAACTTCTTCCCAAATCTGAAGTCCACTAGCTGTTTACAAATGGAAAAAAAAAAAATACATTGGTCTTAGTTAAAGATCACGGTAACTTTCAAGTACCATAAACACTTTGCCAGAAACCAGCTTGGTTGGCGTGAGTGGCCGTGCACTCTCATCCCTTAAGAGAGGTCGGGAGTTCGAACCCCCTCTCGTATGGAAAAATCAATCTGGCCAGCACTTTGCTGCTTAATTGGGCCGGCCCGGTGTGAATGGGGATTAGTCTGAGTATGGTACGGGCTTAAAGGTGCCTCCTACAGTTAGGGCCTGCTCAGGACACCTCATGGTCTGACCCCCCAAAAAAAAAAAAAAAAAAAAACACTTTGCCAGAAGTATTTTGCAGATTAAGCTGATATAGCAGCAGGAATACCATAATACTAACCTTTATGTGTCCCGTCTGGTCTAACATTAGTACCTCGGCAGACACACCTCTATATAGAATACCGTTCTGAAATGGATATAAAAAATAAAGAAGAAAAGAAAAATGAATTCTGAAGCCACCTTGGGTATAGACAGATTTAAATTGCAGAGAGTAAGTACCTTGTGCAAGTCTTCCAATGCAGTAACAACAGACGCAGCACAAAATCGTGCAGAAGCTTCGTCAAGTGGAGTGCGAAGTATCGAAGATAGAGAGCAAGCGAGACACGTATCTAAGAGTATTCCAGCATGAGTATGATCGGCACTAGTGCAAATAACTTGAGGAACACATGCAGCCGGTGACATGCACTTCAATAGATCCTTTTCTTTCAAGACTTGATCTTCTTTCCCGAGCTTCTTAATTGCCTGTTTTGAAAATCTCTTCAAGGTAAGAAACTTATCTGCAGAAAGAAGAGATGAAGATAAATCAATTCTGAGTTACATCCGACTTCCATTAACATGAACCTACAAGGCACCAAAGGCCATTGAACATAATTGTGAGAAAACCAAAACCAACCTGAGTCTTTCAATTGAACAAGGCCAATCTCACTGCAATCTGTGGAAGACAAACTTGTTTTCCATTCCTAGGTAAACCATTGGCAAATAGTTATGTCGATGTCACCCACAAAAGATTATTGTTAGATAAGCCAAAGAAGAAGATGCATACTCGGTTACTCACCAAATCAATGAGGCTCAGCTTTGCAAGATTTGAAGTGTCAAAGCTTTTGATAGATTCTCTAGAGAAATCTGAGGAGCAGTCGTTTGTCCTACAATTAAATGAAGCACTTTTTTGTTAGTATGTTCAGTGCATATATAGGTTTAGGCTGTGTGTGTGGATTGCACCGCACTTACTACACGATTGCACCGCACCCGGATAAGATTGCACCACAAGGTCCTTCAGGCTTCAGGCATGTCTAGGAGCCGTAGCAGTGCAATCATGTAGTAGTTGCGGTGCAATCCTTCACAAGTTCGCAGTTCGCAGGTTAAGGTTGGTTCTCACCTGATTAGAAATCTATATGTATATATATATATATATGTATATATATATATATATATATATATATATATATATATATATATATATATATATATATATATATATATATATATATATATATATATATATATATATATATATATTCATCTGTTGCTTTTGGTGAGTAATACTTCAAACAGAGGATAATTTACATACTCGTGCTCATCCTGTGAGAGTTTTGTCAGAGGGCCCATGATTGAATCAAATTTTTCCTTTGTTATGACAGAGCAGACAACATCACCCACAGCAGTAGCTCTCAACGATCCAACGTGTTCACCAAGAAGTGTCCACTCTCCAAAATAGCTCCCTTCTGCCTTTTGCAACAAGACGCCCTTGTTGTTTGGCATACTATCCTGTTGGTTTTCGCAAATCAGACTTGATGCATTTTCACTTTTCACCGAATCAATGTCAAATGTAATATTCACTCCCCCTTTCTGGATGATATACAAGCCAAGGAGGTTCTCGTTCTGCATATAAATGTGAAAATAGATATATGAGAAAAAAAAAATTGCAGAAGGCATTTGTATATATAGAGACGATAAAAAAGTATAAAGCACCTCATCTACTATAGTCTGTCCGTCAGAAAAAGTCATCTCCAAAAGAGAATCCGCAATATGACTTAGTTGTAAAATTGTCAACCGAGAAAGGAGGTCTACAGACCGAAGTAACTTCAACGATGACAGGTTAGAAAATTCGGACATAAGAATTCCTCTAAAATCTTCTCTTTTGAGTTCCCAGAGGGTTCCACTAGTCACAGCACGAACAGAAGCTTGGAGGGGTTTACTGTACCTGTATTAATCAGAGCAAAGATTTATATCGAAGATGATAACTGGCCAAGAAACACAATATTGATGAATGTTCAAAGACAGGAGACATCATCTCATTCTCGATCTAGTCTAAATATGTCTAATTGATTCCAGCAAATTACCAAAACATATGGCCTTTGAGCTATTACGTCTTTTAAAAGGCTGCTTTATACAAGCGAATCCCAAACAAGAAAACAGAAACCTCATGTTTTGCAACTGAATTCAATAAGTTGTGTCGCTATCTTAAAAATATGTTAAATTAGCTGAGCAGAAGGCGGCATGATAAATATCTTACATCAGTGCCAGCTCTCCGAAGGATGATAGCTTCTCAGCTGTATATTGTTGTAGAACTTTAGGAACTTCTCCCTTGTTTTCATCCTATAATTGATCTCAAGTAAGACATCATATTGGATCTACTCGAGATAACTAGTAACCAATATAATTACTCAAAATTTATTTAGATTGGTGGTGCTGGCAATAAAATCATTTAGTTACCTGTGTTGCTAAAACCTCAAATTCTCCATGTCCAACTACATAAAATGAGTCACTTTCTCCACCCTGCAAAAGTCAATACACTTAAAAATTACTCCGGGAGAGAGAGAGAGAGAGAGAGAGAGAGAGAGAGAGAGAGAGAGAGAGTGTCATCAAGCAAATTTGGATAAGATTGTTTTTCCTTTATAATCAAAGCATGAAACTCCTATCCACAAACCCTTTGAGGTAGCACAAGTTACAAATTGTAGTAAATGAATGTTTCTTGTTCCTCAAGCCCCTTAGAAAAATCATTATTCAGATATTACGGAAGATCAATTAAAAACATATCACCTGCTTCACTACAATTTCTCCAGCTTGAACCTCCACTCTTTTCATAGAATCCAACAAGACATGACGCTGGGCATCTGTTAGTTTTCTAAATAGAAAGTGGTAGTGCAATGCCTGTTCAATTTGTGCCTGTCACATAGATGCTACAAATTCAATGACCATTTAAGGGTTCAATAATATCCAACTAGTATTCAAGAATATACCATGTTTCTCCTCAAGAAATAAAAGAGAAAACACAATAAAAAGCAATGGCCCTGTTTGGTAAATGGCTGTTAGCTGATAGCTGATTGTGTTAATTAGAGGGTATAACTAGTTGATAACATTAGCTGTTGTAGAAAAGTGTTTGGTAAATTAGCTGTTAGCTGATAGCTGTTTGGTATAATTTCTTTTCTGAAAAAGCTAATTGAAAAAGTTGCTTGGAGTAGCTTTTTGAATTTTAGCATTTTGGAGTTGCAAAAAGCTAATTAACCAAACACTTATATTGATATTGTAGTGGTCAAGTAAGCCAAAATTAGCCTATAGGCCAATTTTTTACCAAACAGGAATGATTTAAGGAAGAAATGTTTACTTGTTCTTCCCAGGTCTTCCTGTGGGCCGGAGAAGGAGGCACCCAAATCTGCCCATTTTCAATGGAACTCTCAAGAGCACGAAGCCTTGCCCGTGATATTTCTTGCCTTGTCCGTTGATTCCTAGTATTCCAGCTCAAAACTGCTGGAGATTCTGCACCTGATGCCTCTATAGTCTGAGGCAAAGGGGGTCTTAAAACTGTTTCTGAACTTGTTGATTGACCACCAGCAGACTGATATCGAAGATATTAAGATCATTATACCGAGTCATCAAAAGATACTGAAATAATGAAAGAGAGTGTAGAAACTGATGGGATCAAAGTGAAGGTACCATCTTACATGAGTTAACCCATTAATATGTACCACAATTACAGTAATGTCATCTGTGCGAGTTTCATACTGTAACCAAAGGCGATATGATTCAGCAACAATAGCAGCACAAGCATCCCGTGGATCTGTATATTTTGCAACCTGATAGTTAATTGGCAATAGGAATATTAGTCATCTAAACATAAAAGAGAAGAAGAGAAATCAACAGTACTCATGAACCCCAGCTACCCTTTGCCAGACAACAAGGAATTTCATAACAGCTAGCCACTTTGAAACAACTAAAATTTAATATGTTGGAATATCAAGAGAGTCCTTAGCTATCTCTCAAACCTACAAATTCATGAGCTATTGTAATACTTTTATCACGTTGTTATCAAGTTAGCACTCAAGTTACTTTCTTTCCTATTAATTTACTTGTTTAACCATAAATCTTCATGTCTTACCAGCAGTTGTTAATCAAGTTATATTCTCTCCTATTAATTTTTTTTTTTTTTTTTTTTTTTTGTATTTTTTATAAGAAAAATGTTATTTTCATTATTTATAACTTATAACCTAAGCAAGAGAGGGGAATTTATATTAGCCAGTTTATAACTTATGAAGGAAGACGGTTACGATTACTTCTCTGTTGCAAAGAATGAGATTGACTTTTGTCCTGTATTTTTCTCTTTTTTGGCATTCAGTGGATGATCCCCTCAAACGTTATTGACATGTTTGACAATTAAGAGGCTGAGAAGGTCAGAAGGGATAAATATTAATTATAACAGGCAGTCTTATTATGCACGTCTTGATTAATTTGGAATGTGAGAGAAAGACGCATATTTATGCGACAGATCCAATTTGGGCATTATCTCCTTTAGTGCTTTTGTTTTCTCTTTGTCTTTTTCTTTCACATATTAGGCAAAAGGAAAGTGCCCACCCCCTACAAGTAATAGACGGGTTTGATTTGGGTGGGGCGGCGGATTGTGAGCTTACCAATCTCCAATTTGTTACTTTTATTGTTTAGCAATTCCAGATGTGGTGGCTACTATAGAAAAAATAATACTCCCGTCTTATTTTATGACATTTTCACTATTCATTAGTCAAACCAGTTCTCCTTTATTCGCTTATTTTCTTTAACAATTTCTTATCATTTTCAAATTTGACTTGTGTTGAATAGAACTTTTAATACAAATTTTTAATTTATAATAAATTAAATATTACAAAAACTAAACTATAAATAGCTTCGGTCAAACTTTGTTGTACAAGTAGGTCATATAAAATGGAACGGAGGAAATACTAATTATTAAGAGTTAAAAGCAGAACTACTTAATTAAAGAATAAATCTGAAGGAAACTGACAATTGTAATCAAAAGCAAAAGGAAAAGGAGGAAATTATACCATATCAACAACGGCTTGGCTGGAAAGGAATTCAAACACCCCATCACTGGCAATCACGAAGAAAGGATGATTTGGAGTGAGCTCCAGAACTACGATTTCAGGGTTTGCGACGACACCAATAGTCTCAGCAATAGAATCTCCTAAACTTCTTGTAAAAGCGGTACCAGGATACATCCCATTTTGTACCCAAAGTCTAGGGGGATCACCATCGTCACCTTCTTCCGTGTCCCAACATTGCACATCGGGGTTCTTCAATCCTTCAATCTGATCCAAGGTGAGTACCCGAGCTCCACAAATCTTAACCCTTTCAAGTTCATCGGGCCTAAATGGGGTCTGATCAACTGATAGGTCCACAGCTACTATATCGTTTCCCTTTTTCTCAGCTATAACAGCTCTCGAGTCTCCAGAATTAGCAACATAAATCGTTGTTCCCCGTACCAGTATAGTGATTGCAGTGGTCCCACTCATGCTATCGTCCAACACATCACCATGCAGCTGCGAGTTAGTCGTCAAAAATGCAGCATTACATGCTTCGGCAGCATCTACATCAAACTTACTATTCCTAATCAAATTTTCACATAATTTATTCTTCACGAACTGTGAACATTGAGCTCCAAATTCACCATGCCCATCAAACACCCCAAAGAAATGGTCATCTGGGCTCGTCCCAAATGGTGTGTGAATGCAAAAACTATCTTGATTTGCTTTATCAAGAGCATCGGGATAGTACCCTCTTTGAGACAAAAACGAGTACCGCAATTCATAATTCCCAGATGGAATCTTCACATTTCGTGAGCCATCCAGAGGCAAAAATTGAGCAGAAACCCTAGACAATCTGGCTATTCCAATTTCTTGATCCCTACTGAGGCCTACCTGGTTTAAGTGATCCATAATCTCACCTGCCTCCCCATCTCCCAAATTAGGTGAGAAAACAGCAATCTCAGCTGATCCTTTCACATTTCCAGGCTCTTTTACTTCCACAGCCCTTGGAGCACAAATCTCCCCTATACAAGCCCTCGAATACACACAACCCATTAGTCTGTCTAACCACCAAATTGAGCCAATTCCACACTATCAAATTATCCACTAATTCATCACCAATCAACTGCTAATTCCAACTACCAACAAAATTATAATAAAATCCCTACAAGTTCTCTGCTTCAGATAGTCTACACTCCCAGAAAAAAAGATGATCACCAACATACAAAAACCATAGTCTTGGTACTCCACTGGCATGCAAATGCAAAACAAAAAGATCAAACCCAAATCTGAGAACAGGCAAGACAACTAACCGGTTTCTGCATAAACAGTAACTAACAAAAATACCCTCTACTCAATTCACCTCAAAAAATATCTGGAAATCCCGCAATTCATATGCGTAACAATTGAACAACCTACCCAAGGGCCGAGAACAAATAAAAATCCAATCTTTCCTAGAATAAGTGATCTGAATTACTGAGAAGCAGCTGAATATTAGTAAAACGAAAAACGGGCACTTGAATTGAGCATTGATAAGTACATGGGGGGAGTGAAGCCGAGGAAACAGAGGAGACCCAGGTGAGATACACGTTATGGGTTCTTGATTTCACGGCGGCGGATGGGCATTTCTGAGAATGATCAAACAAATAAACTGAGAAAAAAAAAAAAAAAAAAAGGAGTGGCTGAGCTGCACAGCTGACTGCGTCTTTCAGCGCACAATGAAATAGAGAGAGAAGTTTAATGGTGTAGACGTAACAGTGCATGTGTGGAAAGGCTTTGGACTTGGACCTGTACCAATAGCTATTTTTTGACCTGTGGAGCTGGGCTCGGCCACGCGCTTTATTAACCACGCGCCGCCTTCTGCGGATGACGGATGTTGTACGATAACAGGGTCCCGCGCTAATCAGCATTGCTGTAACAAGGTTGGTAGGGTGTGTATAATTTGGTGAAAAATATGTAAATTAACGAATTGATAAATTTTGATTTTTAATTAGCCAAACACTTTGTGCTTAAATGACATGACTTTCGAGTATTGATTCATTGACTGCAACAAATAGAAAAAGTATAGAATAAACACTACCTTGTAATAAAGTAAATAATACTAAAAAAATAAAATATTTTAGTCTGATGGTATCAATGTTGCTTTTCATAAATAAAGTTGTAAGTTTGAATCCTACTTTTAAAATTTTTGGTTATTTATTAATTTGGTTCAAAAGTGTTGTTTAATTGAATTAATCTTGTGTCAACCGAATTGTTAATATATACAGAGTATATGTTTTAATTTTTTTCTTTTTATAATTCATAAATCATGCTATTAACCTAGTTTTTAAATTTTTATTATTTATAACTGATGTAATGACTATTTTGTGATGTGAAACTATAGATAAATTTAAAGTTTTACTTATAAATTTAAAGTATTTTTAAATTTTACTAAAATATTTTGATTAATCGGTTTAATAGATTTTTATTTATTTATTTATTTGGGTTTGGTTTGGTTAATTCAAAATGGGAGATTCCATTCGAATTGGTTATGAATTGAATGAACACCTCTGTGTGTCTATGACTAATTTTTCTATTTCGTTTTTTTCCTTATTTTTGTGGATGTTTATTATATAATTAATTGAGCTAAAACCATCATATTCTAGTTAGTAAAAGTTTTAATGACTAGAGTATTTTTGTCTACAAAAATTATTACTCCGTATCATACAACTCCAATAACACAATGTAAAAAAAAAAAAAAAAAAAAAAAAAAAAAAAAGAAGAAGAAGATAGACATAATTAAATTAAAGTATACTAACCTTCATTTTTCTACTATAAAATTACATCATGTTTACATTAACTAAGTAAATCATCATTTGCCAAGGACCTTGTAGTCTAATGATACTAAGTCCCTCCCTTATAAAGGAGGTTGTGGGATCGAGCTTTCAATATGTTAAAAAAGTAGTTATAAACAAATATTGCATTGCAATAGAGTCAGTAGTATTCAAAAAAAGTAAATCATCATTTAATGATAGATTATAACTCGACAGGCAATTACATAAATGGCTGTATTAATTTAAATTATTATTTATTTTAAAAGTTTAAAACATAAATTTTTTTCCGTCCAACCATCTCAACTATTTTTTTTAAAGCAGTACACAAACTCCATCCCCATCCCCTCCACTGTGGGACATAAGTTAGTAACTAAAAAGACAATGTGAATAATGACATAATGTCACAGGATTGTTAACCGTCATGTGATTAGTACCAATCTCAATTTGCAACACCCAGACATCGCTCCACTAGTGCACATCTTGTGATTTACAATAATGTGCAACATTTGGACCTTCCTCCATTAGTGTACATCCGGTGATTTACTATTTTAGCCATCTCCAAAAGCAGGAAATTAGGATCTATCGAGGTTGGCAAGCAACAGAAAATAATAAATAATATCTATCGAGGTTGGCGAGCAACAGAAAATAATAAATAATAATAATAATAATACTAATAATAATAATAATAATAATAATAAACTTTATACATCATATTATTGCAGCATTTTACGTACACCAAAGTTGACTCAATCGTCATGTACTCATGTACAATCACAATGGAATTGAAGTACTAACTCATAATCACTTGAGATTCTGAATTTCTGATTGTTTGAATTTGGTCCTTGTATTTATTGTCAAATCGCATAATGCCCTCTCATGTAATGATTTTTCTCACTCTGACCCCCTAATAATTGTACAGTTTTGTCATACTATGCCGTATTGGCAAACTTTATCAATTAACCTTATCCTCAGTACTAGCAAGTAAAAACAAACGACAAGTAGTCAACAACACCCCAAAAAGAAAAAAACGAAAACTCTCATTTTAGAATAATGCATGACTCTCATTTTAAAAATTACATTTTCATTCTGAACCAATAATTTATTAGGAAAACAAAAGATGTATTATACATAATAATATAGTAATATAATTATATTAAATTTGTATATCTTACCACACGTTTGGTTCAAAAAAATGAACTTTAAAAGATTATGAATCTTATTTCATAGAGAATGAAATATGTAAGAAATATATATATAATAAAATTATACAAAGTATTATATTGTTTGTTCAATGCAAGAAATAGAGTTTAAATATTGTATTATTGTATTTGATTGGATTAAGAAATAAAAATGTAATAAGCATTCAAAAGACAAAAATGTTATTCACAGGAAATCACAGACACAACAAGAATCCATGATCATATGAGAAGAGTGTCCATATATGAATGCAAAGCTGCACCCTATGATATGTAAAAATGCAACAACTAAAAAATGTGTGAACTCCAAAAGTGTACATCAAAGAAAAAAAAAACTACAAAGTGTACATGTTCTTGAGTTACACTTTTACATATCATAAGGTGCATTTTGTAGTTTTGTGTGATACACATTTGCACATGGGGTGCATATATAGTGTAAGTATTTATACTAAGCTATCATCGGACAGCAGTTCTCACTTTTCTGCAATTGCATCGCCCGGGTGGTTCGCCCCAAGTGTTTAGATTCCTACTCAACTAATTTGGTTTACTCCAATTAAGCACTTGCTAGCTAGATGCATTTTTACTTTAAAAAATTATTATAGCATTACTATGATTGAGCCAAAATCTAAACCTTATTATTAATAATAATAACCCAAAGATAATTAACAAAGAAACACATGAAAACATGAGTGTGTTATGTGTATATGATCATCAAGAACATAACACAGAAAGGTGGCAATGCAAGCTAGCTTAGCGCGTGGGCAAGACCAAAACATTGCACTTTTCGGTTTGCTTTAAAAGGTATCTATTTTTTTTTTTAATAAAGAAAAGGAATAATATAATATAGCCATTAACTTGCATCCAAAGTGGTGTTTTAATTAACAAATAATACTGTTTAGTAAACATAGCTTTCTAATACCTACTAAGTGATGGGTGTTGGCAAATGCAATGGCAAATGGACAGAGGCATTTCACATCGATCACCTTTGAGACAGATGAATCTATACTTTATCAATAAATCCACATTTTCTTTGCCAGGTACCACTTGGCCTTTCTATAAATATGTAATGCCCCTCACTCAGCTCTTTCATTCTCCTTTAATTTGCTCCAATCAAAAGTTTGAAACATTCACCTCAACTAACTCATCATCCTAAGTTTTCATCAAATTATATTATAGATAATGAACTTTGGTTTGATAAATGCTTTAATAATACAATAGCTTGTACATATGGTTCGTTGTTGATCTCGATCTCCTTAGGTCATATCGAGATTTGGTGGTGTTAAATTTATTGGGTAGAGGCTTGAAGAGTCTAGTCCAACATCTTGACGCTTGAAACATGACAATAATTACTACGCAAGTATAATAAAACAAAGTTGTACATTCGCTATTAACTATAATTTTTGACGTAGTGATAAATTCTTCTGATCTGTATTGAAGTTCTTGCAAAAGATTACACTGGTGTCTTCCAACCCAAGAGAACGCTAGCTTTGAGAAGAGGCTAAGTGGTGCTTCTTTTGAAGTTTCCCCCTTTCGGTGAACAGGTGAAAAAAATTAGACTAACAGGATTCTTGGTTGAATAAACATGATTCAAATTAATTCCTCATTTGCAAAGGTGAGACATTATATGGACAATTATATAATGTATATATTAAGTCTCATAGTGACAAATGCAATGACACCTAATAATTATTGTTTTACTTTTAATGGTATCTACACATTCCCCACACATACATCAAGGCCTTTTCGCATTATGTGGTGTATCATAGACTAGAATAAAGAGATGCAAGAAAAAGCAAGTTGCTTTAAGTATGAGTTTTGGAGCCTTAAAGGTGAGAGCAAAGAGGAATAAAGAAAGGTTGGTGAGTCAAATCCATGATATTTTGGAAAAGGAAAATGTTATTTGAATTATATTTGCATTAAATAATGAGGTTTATAAATGATAAGAAGTGTCATAATTTTTTTATTTTATATTTTAACTTTACTATAAATTAATAATACAAAATTATGTCAAATAATATAATATTTAATAAAATAAAGTATTGATCTCATTTTTTTTTATTTTTTTTACATACGACATTCGATATCTTATAGTGAGATTAATTCAGATCCGCTTCAGGTTGGACCTGCAACATTTGATTGAAAATTAATCTAATTTTTTAAAAAAATATCGATGTTTTTTTTTTTTTTTTTTTTTTAAAGTAAAGGTTGTTTCATAGTTTTGGTATATCATATCATATATTAATGTTTAAAAAAAAAAAATCATATATTCATATGGACTGACCTGGAATCCATTTCTAATAAATAAAGGAACAGTTGTCAGATTGTTCTCATATCCAAAAGCCCATCCATTTTTTGGGGCAAATTATGGATCAGGGTTCACATTTTCTTTTGAGCCAAATAAGGAGAGCCTCTCTTATCTCATACGGAGTAAAAAGCAACAAACAATGAATAACATGAGACATATCATCAAAACAGTGCTATAAAATCACTTATTTCTAACCACTTTTAATAATTTAAAATGTGGACAAAATTTAGTGAAATTTGTAACTTTTTCACAACCATGACAAAGATATATTTTACTCTTTTTTTTTTTTTTTTTTTTTTTCTAAATTTTCGGCCACCTTATGGTCAGAAATGTCAGAAACCTTGTTGTTATTGTTGGCTTAGATCAGATACCAAAACTTTTTGGTAATCTTTTGTTGATGAATTCATTGAAAAAATACAAAGAAAAAAACTAGAGTTATTGGTGTATAATATGCAGCTTTAAGCCT